GACTGGTTTTTGTTTTAAGCTAATGACTGGGATAGAGGTAAGACAAAATATTTCGAAATTAAACATTGAATGTTGGATATAACATGAAGTGGATGAGCTGACAATCTATTTTTTTTTAAATCAAATTGCTCATATGTACTAAAGCATTTAAATCAGTAACGGAGGTGAACTTGAGGTCAGTGCTGTCAACTAATTTCTAAATAGTTTCCAGATTAATTCTTTGCCTTTGGTGCCAAGAATGCTAATCATCTCTGTTGACTTTTAAATTATCAAGCCGCAGGTGTGACAGTCAAAACATGTGACAACCAGGATAGCTAGGGCATAGACACTGGCTTTAGATCCTCAAATAGGCTTTTCTGACGCATTCTGGCTGAAGAAATAGTCACCCTAATTTGGGGGAAATTGGTATGTAGATGACTTGGAATGCAGCCTCCTTCTTGGTCCATTAAAAATTAAGATTTGGGAGAAAGAGTCTGACCAACAGCGTCTAGAGATAATATAGCTGACATGAATGAGGGCGTCCTTGCTGGCCATGGCTTCCACGTCTGTCGAACTTCTCCACATTGCTGTGATTCTGTTTTGATGTTCTGATTATCCTTGCACTGAAGAGATGTAGAGGGTATAGTTGGAAAGAAATGTGTTTGTTTACTATACAACAGTACATCAATAATCATAATTAAAGACCCCTTCCCCAGTGCCAGGGGAGGGGGCAGAATGTGGGCTCTTGGGTGCTGGCTTATCCAATGTCAGAACATATCTGCGCTTTGGATTGCTCTTCGACCAAGCATAGGTATCTTGGGATGCAGGATTGGTGCTGCAATGGGGAAGTGGAAGGAGAGGTTGGCTCCACATTGTTGGTTGAAGTAGCTCTTGGCACTGACCTACCTAGTATCGACACTGAGGGAGCAGTGCAGCTCTTGGCCTTGAGGAGAGCAGAGCGATGGAGAAGAGATCATTCCCGTGGAGAAGCCACCTTGACTAATGGAAGTCCCAACAAGAGCAAAGGACATCCAGAACGAGCAATAACAATAGGAGATGGCAATATCTGTCAGAGCCTTAAGATCATCTGTAACCATGGGGCTCATGCTTCATCCCTTTTGCAAGTTTCTCTGGGGAAAGAGACCACTAACAAGAGGAAGGCTTCATCCAAGTGATTGTGAGTCCCTGGCCTCACAGTAATGGAGACTGAGCCTAAGGCCATGCTAGGCAAGTACCCTACCATTGCTCTATAGCCCCGGGAAGTTTTTACTTCTAATTTTTGAGTCAGGCCTCGTTCAGTTGCTCATGCTGGCCTTTGTTCCTCCTGCCTCGGCATCCTAAACAACAGAGACTACTGGTCAGTGCGACCAGACCTTACAGAGTGACGGTGGACACAAAGCAAACGGATCAAGCACTACAAGAGGGGCACTCTGGTGGGTGCTGTGATAGTCTGCCCACACATACCCTTCAAGACCAACTTATCGATTTCCTCAGCTGCCACAATTATTACTTACTGATGATGCCAAGCAAATTCTTCTCCAAGAATCACCACCCATTGAAATAGATTTCTTTCTTTATGCCTACTTCCCATTTGAAACTCATATCTAATAAGTGGTCAGTATAAGGTTGTGCTGGTAATCTGGGGCAGCTCACAAAGGCCATCCCAGCTCCCTATGGGAATAGTTGAGCAACATCATCACAATTCAGGTCATGCTAGCAAAACTAGCTTCTTACACTCTTCATTTTTATTCTTTGATTCCAAAACAAGCCGCCTACGTACAGAGAAATCTGATTCTGTGTGGTTTTTTTCCTAGGAAACATGATGTAAGGGAGTTTCCTAGTAAATATTTATAAAATCTGTGTAAAAGTATATTGTGACTAATTAAGTTAAATATCAAACCTCATGAAAACAAATGCTATATTTGGAAACCAATATTTGGTAATTAATTTTAAGACTTTATTTTTAAGTGATTAACATCTGCTTCGCCAAATTAAAAAAAGCCTACTTTTTGTTCAGAACATTTTAGGTTCATAAAAATAAGTATCAAAGATGATAAACTTTCTTTGTCATGTTTTAAATTTATCTCCTATAAACTTTTACATTAATTGTGTAGTCATGAGATACATTTTTTCATCCTGAGGTTGGCTATTTTTCAACTTCATCTTTTCGATCGTTTGACTTAGCATTCTTCGTTAAAGATGCATTTTACTGTATGTTCCTGTTTTTCTGTGTATGCACCACATGCATTCAGGCGACCCGAGTCCAGAGGAGACCATTAGGTTCCCTAGACCTGGAGTTACAGCTGGTTGTGAGGTTGTTTTCTCATATAATTATTTTGAGGTCATTGCTGGAAACCAATAGATCGCGGATTGTAAGATTAGCTCTAGGCTCCATTCTACTGAAGGGAATATGTCCATTCTTTTTTCATTATCAAACTGGGTCACTATAATGTCAAAGTAAGTTTTAAAACTGAGCAGTGGAAGACTTCTGGTGTTGCTGTCTCAAGATTGTTTTCTGGGCCTTTTGTATTTCCTAGTAGATTCTGAAATTAGCTTTTCAGCTTTTGTAAGATATCCTGGTGTGATTTTGGTAGATTTTAATAGATTCTGCCAATCAACTTAAGTCTATCTTAGTGAACTTTTATTTCCTTTTTTCCAAGTGTCTTTTCATTGGTTTCAACAATTAGATTTTTTCCATTATATTTGGTCCTTATTAGTTTGCTCTTTTTGGTGCTATCGTAAATGGAATTATCCCTTAATTTGTTTTTGATTTTTTGTTGCCGGTGTGTGACAATACAGCTAACTTCTATGTTGATCTTTTATCCTGCAAACTTGCTGAAGCTGTTAATTAGTTAAGTAGGGTTTTTTCCTTAAAAAAAAAAGAGGATTTACTGGTTTTTATTTTACATGTATATGTGAGTGTCTGCATGTATGCCTGTATGCCTCATTCATGCCTGGTACCTGGGAAGACAGAATAGGGCATCAGATCCATGTGAATGCCAGCACCAAAGCCACTTTTCTCTCCTCTGTAAGAACAGCAAGTGCTCTTGGCCACTGAGCCATCCTCCAGAGCATCACTGAGTGACTTTTCAATGAGTTTCTTAACTGGGTTTGTTGCTTGTTTTGAAGGCAGAGTCTTACTATGCAGCCCCGGCTAGCCTGGTACTCACTATCTAGCCCAGGTTAGCCTTGAACTCGTAGAGAGTCACCTGCCTCTGCCTCCCCAGTGCTGGAACCAAAGGTGTGAAAGGTGTTTTGGGGGTTTTTGGATTATTTTTGTATAACATCATCTGCAAACAAAAGTAGTTTGAGTTTTTCCTCTCTGACCCAGGTGCGTCTTACTTGGTTCCTCTTGTTTAAATGCCCTCTGCTGCTGCCAGTGCTTTAAGTAGCAGCAATAAAAGTGGACGTTCCTGTCTCATTCATGGCCTCAGGGTTATGAGCACAGTGTTCCTCCCAGGATGGCAGCGCTGTGTGTTCAGCACGCGTCTTTTCCCACAGTGTATAAATGCTCTTGTTTCCTACTGCTTTTTTTCCCCTTGATTTGTCTTTCTTTTTTTTTCCTACTGTTTTTAACATGAGAGGGTTTGGATAGTATATTTTTTTATTCATATGCTTAGGTGATTACACATTTTGTTACATAGTCTAATAACACATTTGGCATATTTTTAATGTTAATCCACTGTACATTCCTGTGATTAGTGGTGTATAATAGAGGTATGATGAGTAATGCTGCATTGTTGCGGTCTCTGTTTTTCCCCCTTGGATTTCTCCACATATTTTCAGTCTCTGTTGTCAGTTTATAACTGCTAAATCTTTCTGCTGGACTCACCCTCTCGAGCATTGCTCAGCATAGTTTGAATGCGTGAGAAGTGAATCAACAGAGCCCAGATTCCTCAGATAACCTGCGGGAGTCTGCATCAGCTGCACCAGATTTTCCCACCCTGTCGAGGAAATTGCATACTCCAACTGATGGAGTACACGGGGGAAAAAAACTGTCTCCAAAGAATGCTGGTCTGCGTAACGGTGAGGGCTCTTTCAGCTGCACCAAGTAGATATCTCAATGTAAAACGGTGTAGACAATAAAGGTGAGTTGTTAGTTTATCTAACGGAAAGTTGAGCTGCCCTGGTCGACCCAAGCTCCTTATCTGAAGCCTGGAGCGCAGAGGCGATTTCAGGGACTTGGTTCTCCCAAGAGCAGTGCCCAGAACCTACTGTGCAGGAGAGAGTCACTCACTGCAGTTAGGGTATGACTTAGGGCGCTGGGTCTTCCTCCTGTAGTACTTTGATTAGGAAAGGCTGGTGCTAAGGTTGTATGAATGTCAGATTTCATTTGATTAAGGACTGTATTCTATAGCAGTTTCCCCTTCTTCCTTCTCCTCCTCTTCCTCCCCCTCCTTCTCCCCCCTCCTCCTCCTTCCTGATAGAGGGGATTGTCTTCAGACTGGCTTGTGTCTTGGCTGGTAGCTGTGAGCTACAGTAGTAAAAGGCAGGCCACTGTCTTTCCCTGCCCACCATTTAGCAAATGCCTGGAATTCCATTTTGCTTTTCAATGTGTCTTCCCTAATCAATGCCCCTGGGGAATTTGAGTGCACCACTGAACCTGGGAGTGAATTCATCCCCCTCCCAGCCCTAAGTTACACCAAGGAAAGGAGGGAAAATGGTGTCAGCTTCCTACATTCTTCTTTAGATGAAAGGTCAAATATCCCGGAGACTAGGAACTGCTTTCCTACTTGTGACAAATCCCAGGACTTGCTTTGGGGCTTCTCTTTTTCTATAGCGGGAAGAAAGTAAACAGATACCACCTTGTGCCAAAATAAAATGATACATAGTTTATCAACCCGACAGATCACTAGCTATTTTCCCCTTTTATTGAAAATAGATTCTTTCCTCATATCATATATCCGGCAATCCTGTTTCCCCTCCCTCCACTCCTCCCAGCTCCTCCCCACCTCCCCTCCCATCCTGATCCACTCCCTTTCTGTCTCTCTTTAAAAAGAACAGGCTTCCACGAGATAACACAACATAACAAAATAAAGTATAATAAGATAAAACAAAAACCATTACATCAAAGTTGGCCAAACCAACAGAAGGATTATTTTTATAATCATGGTACACACTGCAATTTCTCTTCTGCCGTTCTGAAAATCCCTTTGTGTCACCAAGAACTGCATGTGACCCAACACAGAGTCAACTTTATGAACTGGGAAGAGACAAACAGGGGCAACAGTAATGCCCTGATCACTGAATATGAAGGAATCTGGGGATCCCCCTCTGGTCACTGGTTACAGGATAACTGGGTCATTGTCACGTAGAAACCTATTTCTGAATTCACGTAATTTTAAGGTTCTACATCCAGATGAACTTTATGCTAGGATGATGAACAACGCAGAGATTCTGTCAGCATTGCTGGATGTAGTCTTCAAAAATACTGGAGGACAGTGGGTACTACAGAGGGGCAGACTTGCCTGTTCAGAATGTCAAGATGGAAAAAAATCTTAAGATGATACCCTGTCATAAAAAAAAAGTGGAAGGGTTTATTTTTAAATAGCTTGCAGTTGAACATTTAGAAAATTAGGGTTAGCCAAATTATCCTCATTTTGGATGTATTATATATGGAAAAGTGATACCTACAAGGCACTGTGCTACCTTGGCAAGTCTCCCATGCATCATTGTGTGTATGTATGTGTGTTTCTCTCTCTCTCTCTCTCTCTCTCTCTCTTTCTCTCTCTCTCTGTGTGTGTGTGTGTGTGTGTGTGTGTGTGTGTGTGTGTAGGCACACGTGCGCATGCTCTATTGGGTCCTCAAACTTATTATGTAGTCAAGAATGACTTCAAATTCCTGATCCTTCTGCCCCTACACATCTTGTGCTGGGGTTACAAGTTTGAGCCACCATGTTTAGTTTATGTGCTTCTGAGGATCCAGTCCAGGGCTTTGTGTGTGCTACCCAAAAGTGCTATAACTGAGCTATGGCCCCAGCCCTTAGATTAATACCCCTAGTACAATTAAACAGAGGGGGAGGACACTCGCGCTCCTTCTTATATTTATCTTAGGCTCTAAGCCTAATTTCCTGTTGCTAACGTAACAAGTTGCCACAAACCATAATTTAAGATCCTACAGCAACACACACTGATTCTTCTCATGTGGTTTATGTGGTCAGGAATCTGAAATGAATCCTGTAAGAGTGAAATCTAGGTGACAAGTAGGGCTGACCTGTGAAGGGGTCTGGCGTAAATCTACTCGACGCCTCCTCTGGCTTTCTGGTAGCCAGCATTCCTTGGCTCAGAGTCGAATCATTCCCGCCTCTGTTTCTCTTCCTAGCTTGCCATCTCTCACGACCGCCTTCTTTCCTTGAGTACACACTCTTATGATTTCATCTCGTCCATCTGGAAAATCCAGGATCCTCTTCCTGCCTCAAGATATTGAACTCAGTCGCACATGCAAAATCCCATTTACCACCCAATTTCTTCAGAATTAGGATGAGGGCCTCAAATCAGCTTACCCCAGTGAACAAGACATAATTAGAAAGAACGCCCTAAGTTATTTTTCAGACCAAGGAAGGTATACACCACCAACTAACCAATAACCCCATGTTGCTATGCCTTGCGTCGGTTGCTTAGTTTTGCTGCTATATTACCTAAAGATCTATCCAGCTAAGATAAGGCATGACCTGGACTGGAAGGGCAGGTCTGTTCCAGTGTTGAACCTGTGCTGACTGGGAGATCAAATCAGTGAGTATTTTGAGTGTATTGGAAGGAAGTTGAGTCTCGAGAACGGTGAGCTCGACTCTGGTGTTTTCCTGATGCTGTGCATGGGTAGGGGGAGGTCGGGGTGTCTCTGCAACCGTCACAAGCCTGCAGAGAGACGATCTGAGGGAAGCAAGGAAGCAGTTGGGTTCAACAGGACTTAGTTGTCAGTGTTGGTTCAACCTGACCCCGAGTGGTTTATCTTATGCATGCATAAACACAGCACAATTTGGTGAAAAATGTTTCTAGGGATAATTAACTCATTCCCATGTGTACAATTAAGCACACATCTCTTTGAGGAACAAAGCGAGCTAAGTAAAGATCAGTCATGACTGACTACAGTGAAACTCTGTAAAGTACACATGACACCTTCCATAATGATAGGTTCTATAGATTGAGAAAAATGAACTTAAGATAAAGGTCACAGGCTAGAAAGCATTTCTGTGCCCAGTCTTTTGGACAGATAACACGTCTTGCTTTCCTTCCCTTGAAGGACTTATATTCTGGGTTCCCCTTGGGCTTCTCTGTGCTCACAAAGACCTCTGTGCTCCCTACGTGACAGGGCAGCCTGGCTATCTCTAGAATGGTAAGTCCTTCCAGTGTGCCAGGGTAGATCATGGACAAGTGGCATCCACAGCAAAGTTGCATGGATTGGCCGGAATTTAGGGATTTAGAGACAGCAATATTTTATGATTAAAGACTATTTCAAAATCATAGATTTCCCTGCAGCCTTAAGAACTAGCTAGCATTTTCATGTGCCCTTTGCACAGATTTTTTTTCCCCAATTGCAGTATCTTGTGAAGGGACAGTATAATATGACAACCAGGACAATGGTACCAATAATATGCACAAGATAAAAAGTATTTTTGGTCCCAAAACTAATCCCCCAGCTTGCCCTCTTAAAGTCACATCCACTTCCTTCCCTCACTCTCAGTCCCCAGGAATGCAAATCGTTTTTTTTCTTTTTCTACAATTTTGTCCTTTAAAGAATGTTAAACAAATAACATAACACAGATAAGACCTCTTGGCATTGGTTTCACTGACACAGCATGATTCTATAGAGACTCCTCCAGACTGCTTCTATGCATCAGTAACTGACTCTCTATATCGCTGAATAATATTCTGTCACATGGACTACCAAAGTTTGCCTAACCACTCTTCTCTTGAAAGACACCTAAGAGCTATTATACGTGGGGTTCATATGCACATTTAGGCGTAAGTTTCTGTGTGAACATAAATTGTCAATCCCCTGAGAGAATGCTCGAAACTGCCGTTGTGTGTCACACACAGCGGTCTCGTGGTTGGCGTTTCTGGCCACCGCCAGCCTATTTTTCAGAATGGCCGCACTGTTTCCTGTTTCCTCATGAGCACCTGAGCGATCAGGTGTCTGCCGGTCCTTGCCGGGACCAGCAGTTTTGGGTTTCTTGTTCTACTTGACTTTAGCTATGCTGATTGATGTGCAACAATATTTCACTGTAGCTGTGATTTAAAACTCCGTGGTATCTGATGATGATGGCTATCTTGGTTTTTGCTTATTTCAACCGTTATCACCAGGGCACCTCTAGGGACGTGATGTTCTGGGCACAACAGCCGGGAGAGTCCTGTGACCTTTACTGAAGCTGTCCCGTTGGCTCCATTTTAGAGAACAGGCTTCTGAATAACATCAATTCAACAAATTTTCACTTGTTAAAAATTAAAAGTGTGAAATATGCTATATCTAATTCACTATTTTTAAGAAATGACTTCTCACAACTCTAGTCAAAAATATTTAGAACTAGGAATAAATACACCAAATATATTTCAATAAAACTATATTCAAAGGCCAACTATTTAAGTACACATATCTTTACTTCTTTATATTAATTAAATAACATAAATTACCCTTCATTTCTGAAAATAGAAACTGTGCCTCTCACTAACTTAAAAGTAGATCAGATATCTCTCATTGATCGTCCAGAGTAGGTTTCTATAAGAGCTTCCTACCATTCTGCTTTCTCCTCTGTCTTCATTACTTATTAATAGTTGTGATAAAACACCATGACCAAGACAACTTATGAAAGAAAGTGTGTAATTACAGTTTCAGAGGGTGGGAGTCCATGATGACAGAGCAAAGACGTGGCTGTGAGAACTCACATTTTGACCTGAAAGTAAGAGGCAAAAAGAGACACGGGGGATGGTGCTAGGCTTCTGAAAGCCCAAAGCCCACCCCAGCGACACACCTCCTCCCACAG